CCAAACGGCGGCCCTTCGAATCTCCCGCAACTTCCCCGCGCAGGGCACCGGCGCGCCCCCGCGCGCCTCGATGCACTCGCGCAGGCGGGGCAGAGGCGCGGAGCACGAGGGGTGGGCGGACGCGAGTGCGAGACGGAGCAGCAGGGAAGGGGAAGGGGGGGTGAGGAGGGGGGGGGGGCGCGCGGGGGCGGAGAAGGAGAAGGGCGAAGAGAGGGGGGATGGGGGGGAGGGGCCAGATGCGTTCGGCACAGCTCGGGGGCGGCAGGTCCTGCTTGCAAGGGGCCGACTTCTTGGATCTGCAGGAGCGCGACGAGATCGCGCGCCAGGCTCCTCATTTGCCGCGGGGGCGGGGCGGCGCGGCCTAGAGAGGGGGGCGGAGGTGCGCCCCCTTGGCGAAAGGCCTGGGGGGCCTGAGACATCTGAGACAGGCGGCCGAAAGGGGGGCGGGGGGCCGAAGAAAGGGGGGGATGGGGTGGGGTAAGACTGCAGTGCTTCCCACCAATTTGCCAATTTGGCCAGGTGGCGCGCAGCCTACCACACGCGGCCCGGGAAACGCGATGCGCGGCCCCCTCCCCGCCAGGCAATGACATTGCCCTTCGCCCTGCCGCGGGGCCGCCACCCCGACTAGAGGACCCCCCCGCATCAAGTGTAGGGGGCCGCGAGCGTCAGAGTAGGGACCCCCTTCCACGTCCTGTCCTCTGACCCAACACTTGCCATTCATCCGCCCTCTTCCTCCTTCAAATTCCCCCCCCCCTCTAATTCCATGGTGCTTTTACATGCTTGCATTGCGCAAAAAAAATTGCAAGCCAGGTTCAATGGCTACCGATGCAGCGAGGATCGAGACAATCGCTGCGTTCTTGTCGGGCCACGGCATGCTGGCTGAACTTTACGATGGGCGGGTGAGGATATGCAGAGCCGCGGAGCTCGCTGTGGCGCTCATGGGTCAGGATCAGGATGTGGGCGCCGCTAGGGCCAGACGGGCCATGAGAGACCGTTTGAAACATTGGTTGGCGGAGGTGGTGGCCAGCAGACCAGACGCGCACATGCTGCGCATGGGCCCCGACGCTTTCGACCCAGACTTGTTGGCGGAAGCGTTGACCAACCTCACGGGCTTAGATTGTTCTGACGATGTGCTCGACGCGGCCTACACAAGGGCTGGGCCTCCTCCGAAAAAGATCAAAACCAGACGGTGGACGCGGCAGCATGTCACGGGCTCTGCGCCCAGCGTTGGCAGCGGGCCAGTTGCCCCCCCAGCGGCAGAGGCAGCCCTAGCTCCGGTGGCAGCCATAGTTCCAGCGGCAGCGGCAGCCATGGTTCCAGTGGCGGGTCCGAATTACGCTCAGATGCAACACAGCGCGGTGTGCCGAATTGCGGAATGTCAAGATGTAGTCATTGCTCAGTTGAAAAAAGAATTCAAACGTACGCAGGCTAGCCGCAACCACTACATGCAAGTGGCTGACGACCCGAGGGCCGCGGCGGACGCTATGAAACTGGAGCTGCAGGATGTGCTGGCCACGAACTGCTTCAAGCCTGGGCGAAATCTTTCTGTTTTCGGAGGGTATACGCTCGCCCTGCGTCGCAACTTGGGACACGCTGGTGGCTTGGCAGCTGCGCGCATGATTACTGGCGTGGACGAGCATGGGTCCCTCAAATCAGCCAAGTCGGTATGGCAGCACGAACACCGCGCTGCTGCCGCCAAGCTGGTCAGGGCAAAACAATTCTACCAACAACGTGGTGGTGCCGACGCGGGTGGTGTATTTGAGTGCCACTTGGTAAAATGCGATGCTACTAATCAAGAGGCCATTGGCAAGGCCAAGGTCCATGTAGCGGTCGTCAATTCCATCATCTGCAATGTCGTGAAAATGCTGTCTTCTTCTTTATCTCTCCCCGTCACGTCGGCAGGGTGCGCCAGACATTCCGAGTCGCTGGCGACGACGGGGGACTTGGCTGCAGTCGTGTCGAACAACGCCTTGGAGACGTACAACCATTGCATCCAGCATTATGCATGCATCGGTTGCCCCACCTGGCTTGATTGTGCTGCGCAGCCCCCAGACGTGAGCCCTCCGCTCACTCCTTTCGTCTTCGGCATGGACGCAGGCCCAGACAACCAGGGGGCACTGAAGAGAGTCAGTCGCGATCTGGAACATGTGTCGCATGTTGCTTTCATCGGGGTATTTTGCTTTTGTCATCAACTTCACCTTATCATCAAGGACGTGTTGGCATGCACTGAGTCGTTCACTTGGGGGGTTCTGACGAGTGACCGCAGATACTGGCCCACCGTGGCCACTGTGGCTAACACGTGGAGGTCGACAGGTATGCCGATGAAGCTTTTCCAGGCGGCCCGCGACTTGTGGCCCGATGACCCTGGTGTAGCCACTACCCATTTCAAGAAAATACCGGGCAGACCGACGCGTGGCCGCTGGGGCACGATCTCTGCGGTGGAGGCGATCATTGTCAATGCATCTGCGTACATCGGCCTTGTGTTTGAGAAGGCCATCGGGATTGCCCGCGAGGAGGCCGAGGAGGAGGAGAAGGAGAAGGAGGAGAAGGACGTCCCTGTCCCCGCTGCAGGCGCACTGAAGAAGGCCAAGAAGAAAGTCACGATGGGGGACGACGACGACGAATAATACAAACGACAACAAAAGAACGACCGTCGCACCTCAGTGCTTTGCACGGGCGACGCCCTATGGCGCGCCACAGTGTTGATCTCTTTGACTGCCAAGGGGCCACTTACGCAATACTTGTTGTGGGTTCAAAAACGCAAGAAGGAGTTTGACCAGAGCGCCCGGCTTTCTGCTCCAGACCCCTATCTTGGACCTACCCCTCTTTACCAACTGGTCACCGCGAAGGGCGCCGCAGTCTACAGCGACCTGCAGGCGCTCCTGGCGCAGGGGGCGCGGACCTCGACGCAGGCATGTGGGCGCAGGTGTGGCACGCTGTGCCGACGGAGCTGTTCCCTTCAGCCAGGCTGCTCATTGTTACCTTGGTTATCCGTGGGCTGGCTGGATGGAAGGAGCGCGTCATGGGCAAAATCGAGTCCTTCCCGCTGTGCCTTCTTCGCGTCCTCTCTGCGCCGCAGGGCGATCGATCGGACGAGAGGCAGGACGTGGCTGCCATGCTCTTGAGCGCGGAGCCCGCAGACCTCGACCTCTCTACCAGCGACGTGGCACTCAAACTTCGTGATCAGTTCATAGATGATTGGAAACAGATGGAATATGATGGGTCCTGCTCGCCGAGGCTTTACGCGTGGCTGTTGATGTTCCGCCACCAGCTCCCACATGATACACAAGACATCGAGGGTGCAAACAGTGTGCTGCAGCGCATGGCCGCCGCGGCGCCGAGGATGCAGATCCCGCTGGCCTCGGACTGGCTGCGCGTGAAGCTGGGGACGCCGATTTCTGCGAGCGCCTGCGCGGACATGCACGAGGCCGCCGTGCAGCACATGGGCACCGCTGAACACGAGCAGAGGTTCATCCCCGTGCCCGACGCGGAGGGAGCAGGCCTGCTGCTCGCAGATGCCAGGGGGGTCACGAAGAGGAAGTTGCCGAAGAAGGCGGTTTCATTCATGATGCGGACGGCCGCGAGGTTCACCCCCCCGATGACGGCCATGATGCCGGTGCATGCGAGCAGGGCTTTCTCTCTCCGCGGGCCTGGTGATGTCGAACGCCCCGCTTTCCTCATGTGCTGGTCCTACTACTCGCGTGTGACGGCGGCTACTGGCGTGTTGAGGCGAGTGGCCGGCCATGCACGTTTTCATTTGGATGTGCCGATCTGCCTCATCGCCCTCTTGGATTTGGTCGCCGAGCGCCGGGAGGCCGACGCCGTCCACGGAGCAGGTCCCATGCAGATCTGGCATGGCGCCCTTGCGTGGGAGTCCTTGAACGTTGCCAAGTATGACGAGGAGGAGGAGCACGCCGTTCTGCCGCGGAAGCTGAAAGCTGGAGCCGACGAGGGCGCCGCGGGGCCAGACGACTACGAGCCAGGCGACGCCCACGAGGGTGACCCAGCAGCCGCAGCTGCCGATGTAGACTTGGATGAGCTGATGGAGGAGCTTCTGGGTGGAGTGATGGAGAAGGAGGGGGAGTGCGACGGCGGCGTGGACGAGGCGCACTTGGCTGCCCACCCAGAGCACGTGGAACTCTGCGCGGATGGGGCGGAGGTGGAGGAGGGCGGACCTTCCGGCATAGGCGGCATCGCGGAGGGAGAGGGCGAGGAGCCGTCAGGCGATGTCGAGGAGCTTGCAGAAGGCTCGTCGACCCCAGTTGGTCTTATTCATCGAAGATAGATTCTGCGCTGAGGAAGGCGAATAAGAGCAAGGGTAAGCCGATTGAAAAGGGTACCGTCAGCCTCGTCACCAAGAGCGACGGCCGTGCTTTGTTCATCGTGTGGACCCATCTTGCTACCCAGATGGGCAGGGTCATGCGCTTGGACGAGAGGGATCGCATCATCGCCCTGGCGCCCTTCCTTCAGCCCGTATGCAAGCAGGATGACATCAAGGAAGTTGTTGTGCACGTGACTGGTCTGTACCAGGGCAGGGCCCCCAAGCCAGAGCGGCCGCACGTTGACGAGTGGCTATTGTTATTGAGGCTTCGCGAGAACACGCAGTTTTGTCAGGGCCCGATCGCGCCCAAGGCTGGCGAAGAGTGCGTGGCGTGCAAGGTGTCCTCTGCTCTTGCCCCAGACCCGACGCTCCACGACCTCTTTTATTACCGCTGCAAGATCTGCCTGCTCCTGTGGCACAACGCGTGCTCGAACCGCTGCCGCGCGCACTGCAACTTTGACGACTTTGTCTGCCCTGCGTGCCTTGGCTGAGCTGAAGTGCGCGGGGGCATGCATGGCTCCTATTGTTCCACTTTGGATCAGGTGGCAGATCACCGCATTGCTCATGTATTTGTATCTGCCTCACTGCGCTGACATTGATGACGGACTACTACTTCGACATGCTGATTTGTACTTGGACTGACTTATTGTATATGTGGGATGATGTAGTATTTTGCCTCCTGGTGGCCCGCCCTCCCCGCGTTCTCCTCTGCCTCGCTTCCTCTCTCATTCTTGCCACGGGGAGGGGGAGGGCTGGGAAGGCAGAGTAGAACAAGCGTAGCCGAGGGTCGCATGTAGGGTCGCATCTCGTTTACGCGAGCAACGCGTGGGGGCGTCTTCACAGTTGTTTCGCGTCGGCCTGCAAGAGGCCACATCGTCTGGGGATTCTGCAGCGGGGTCCTGAAGTCGGAGGCCAGGAGGCGATCACATACCCCACGACCTTCACAGGCCTGACAAGGGCCTCCCCACATCGATCGGGATCGCGTTGACGTGCACCACCAAGCGTGGATGGACCACCCCCCAGAAGGTCGACACTACCCATTGCTATTGTCTCATGTGTGCATTGGCATGTTTGATGGGGCTCTTCCCTCCGGCAGCCGCAGCCACTCAATCGGCGCCGCCCAAATCATGCGCAGTGGTTGCTGGGTTGCTTCTAGCCTGTCAGCGGTGCTGTCTGCTGAGCGGCGCCGTTGTCCGCGCCGCCATCATATCCCTCGCTCTTCCTGCTGAGGTAGTGGCAGTTCACTCCCATTGGCAGCCCCTTCCTCCTCCTCCCTCCTAGCTCGACCAATCCTATCCTTATTGTCCAGGCCAGTAGGGGGGCCGCGCATCTCTCCCCGCTGTCCCTGCCCCTGATGCCGCCCCCCCCTCCCTGGCCGCTGCCGCCGCTGCGCCCCGCGGAGGTGGTCACGTTCGGCTCGTGCATCATGTTGCCACTTGTCGACGAGGATGCCTACGAGACGGTGGAGGCGCGCGGCCCGCACCCAAACCGGTGTTCCTCGTCCTAGCCCCCCAACCCCCCAACCCTTTGCATGGCCAGCAGCACGCACTAGCAGCGCTACGCGCGCCCCCGATCCAAGCAGCGCGCGCGCGCTCGGGGCGCGGCGCGGGTAGAGAACGCAGCTCATTGGTCAATGCGCGCATGCGCGAGCGCCGCGCGAGGCGCTGCATCAGGGCGGCGGGCGCGCGAGCACCCGCGGCGCGCAAATGCGTCCCCCGAGCGATGAGGCGAGCCGTTCCAGGCCCGCGGCCGCGCGAAAAACGTCTGTCGCGCCCTGGCGGGCCCAACTGCACAACTATCCTCTGCGCCCAGGGCGCCTCTAGTCATCGCGCCCTGCCCCTGATGGAACTCTCGGCGCTGCGCCCGTGGGTCCACGAGTGGGTTCGCTCTCCTGGCCCAGCAGGCTGAGTTTTATGGCGCCAGCGGCCGCCCGCGCGCGCGCGCGGCCGCGTCGGACAGGCTTGCGCGCGCAATGCAGGGGGGGCGGGGGGGGGGCGGGGTCGCGTCCGTGCATTCATGGAACCGACGCCGCGAGATTACGCGTCGCATGGCAGGTCTCATGCAGCTGAGTCCATGGATATCTGGTGGGGCTGCGCCGATGCGACCGCGCGTCTCGCAGACCTGGGTCCAGGAAACCTTGCTGCCCCATGGAGTTGAGTCCATGAACGCATGCCACCTGCGCGGGCACGGCGGCGCGAGAAGCAATCGCGTCGCGCGTCATGCGGCCATGATGCTACACGGTCTCATGGGGCCGAGTCCATGAGATCAATCATCTCATGGACTCAGCTCCATGAGATCAGGGCCTCATGGGGTCGGGTCAACGAGTCCTGGGGAATCCCATGGAGCCGACTCCATGAAATTGAGGGGCGTCTCATGGAGCCGATCCCATGAGATCAGGGGGTCTCATGGAGTCGGCTCCATGAGCCCAGGGGGATCTCATGGAGCCGACTCCATGGGATCGGGGGGGGTCTCATGGAGTCGGCTCCATGAGATCAGGGGGTCCCATGGAGTCGGCTCCATGAGATCCCTGGTCTCATGGAGTCGGCTCCATGAGGCGCCCTGATTTCATGGAGCCAGCTCCATGGATCAGAGTATTTGCCATCATCATCGCGCGAAAAGTTTGCGTTTTATTTTGTTCGTTTTTCTGTTGTCTTTGATTCGCTGTCGCATGTGTTTTTTTTCATTTTCTTTCAGTGGGCGGGTGTTGACATTGTCCAGATGTGGTTGCGCGTTGCTCGATCGATGGTGAAGAATTTTGCTCAACGCACCCTGGCACCATTGTGTTCCCTGTGCTTTCTTTCGCGCGTGCTCCACGTGCCTTGCACGCGTCGCGTTCGCTCGCTGTGGATATTCGGGCGTTGCGCGTTTTCAAGGGCGATGCGCGTTGCGACGCGCTGACGTGCGGCGACCCTGTCGCGCGGAGAGGGGGCATTGGGCGGCTGCGAGAATATCGCGCTGACCTTCGACCTATTCATTGCCAGCAGTCGGCTTTGTGGTCTATCGTTGCCACGCCCTCCCTTGCGAGCGCCCACGGTCCGATGTATCAATCTTGCGTTCCGCCGCTTCTCCGTCGCGTCCCCTTCCTCTTTTGCGGTCCGTTGCTTGTCCCTTGTGCCTTGAGCAGCCCCCTGCCATGCGTGCATTATACGTGGTGCTCTCCCGTCCGCCCGATCGTGGTTATTCCGTCTCTTCGGTCGACATGTTGCCTGCTCATCGATGCATCATGCGCTTGTTTCGTCATCTGTGTTGTTTGCGCGGCAGGCTAAGTATGGCGTGGGGCTCTCCAACCTGGAGTACCAGCAACGCATCGATGCGGACTACTTGGACACTCCCGACAAGCACGTGCGCTTCGTGACGAATGGCGAATTCAACATCGTGGGGCGGGGGGGGCGGGGGGGTGTATATTGAGTCGTTAGAGGGAATGGCATGTCAAAGAAACACTTGTCCGCCATCGGCTTTGTTCAGAATATGCGCATCCCGCGCGATCAGATGGGCGCGGGCGTCCGGAGCGGGTGGGCCCCGAGAGGCCCTTGAGCCCTTGAGACGGCCCCGCGAGGGCTCCAATGATGCTGCAATACGAGCGTGTAATTGCACGCCGCATGCGGGGCCATCTCGGGGCCCTCGTGAGCCACTTAGGGCCCCATGGGGTTTCGTTCGCCCGAGGCACTGAGAGGGCCCCGCGACATGACCAGGGGGGTTGCAATATGGCCCCGCGATGGGCGCACAATTGCGCGCCGCTCGCGGCCCCTAAGGTGGTTCCGAGATTGCGCCGAGGCAACCCCGCGAGGGCCGCGATATGGCCTAGCAACGGTGCGCTCGTCGTCGCGACTCGTCGTCGGGCGGGGTCGCGCGCGCGGCCCGGGGCTGGGGCAGCGGAGGACCGGCACGAGTGGAACGACCGCGGCGACGAGGCCAGCATCGAGGACCGCGTGAAGAGCATTGAGAGTATCGGCTTTTTTGTGGGAGAACAAAGGCGGCGCCTGGCTGGTGAAGGACCCAGACCCCAAGAAGGAGGACCCCTGGGGGGGGGGTCCGCGGGGGCGGCTGCTGCGCCTGTGCTCGGTATGGCAGGATGCGTTTGGCGCTTCATATTTGCACCTCCTTGGCAGACGGTTCCCCCCCCTGATTATGATGGGGGGGGGGGGGGCGTCGCGCGCCTATCTTATCCGCTGCCCAATTGCACCTTTTGCCCAGCTTCGCCCTTGCCGCCGAGACAGTGGGGCAGTCTGGGCACCTGTCGCATCTTCAATTCCAAGTCGGCAATCCTCCCATTCCCGCCCGCTCTTGCCATGCCGCCCCATGCCATCCCCGGCCGCTGCCCGCGCCGAAATCGGAGCGGGCCTGCGCGCGGCGGGAAGTGGAGGACCACTATCTCGCGCTGCACGGCGCCACCTTGGCGCAGGGGCTGAAGCGCGCGTGGGAGAAGGCCAGCAACCAGAAGAACAAGAACGTCACGAAGAGGGGGGGGGGGCGCATCATCTGTCCAGTCTGTCCGAGCGCCGTCTACGTTGGCCATTTATCTCATGTTGTTTTCCAATCTCGATGACTCCTCTCCACGCCCCGTCGCCCCCCCCTCCATATGGCCCCCGACCAATGAGCTTTCTGGACGCAGTCAGGCTGCGGGACAGTCCAATGACTTGCGAACCGTGTGGAGCCCAATGCACATATGCATATGCAGTCGGCGTCCGTTGGAAGGTGCCCAATCTGATCTGTCCATCCGCGCACTATCTCCGCGTTCATTGAACATCTAGGGGCTCTCTTGGGGCCCTGGCGGGCCCGCCCAAAGAGAGGGGGGGGCGCGGCTTCGAGATAGATGCGTCCAAACCGAATTCGGATCAGCCATCATCACCTATTCTTATCCTTGCCCATCGCGCCAGGCCCCCCCCCCTTGCCTCGGGCGCGCCGCTCCGTGCGACGTGATGCAGGGCGAGAGTGACGCGCGCGCATCTGCCCGCGGCGTGCCGAGGGGTGGGCGGGCAGGGCCATCGCCGACGGCTGGCCCCACTGCAAGATTTACAACAGGACGTTGCCAAAGGGATGTGGGATATTCTTGAAAGAGTTAGGGGATAAGCTGAACGAGAGGATGACAGTAACTACCGTTCTGGAAAAACTTTGGGCAGTTGATCAACTCCAAATTGGGTGGAAAGATTTCGCCGGCAGCAGGCCCGGTTGGACCTGGAATGGGCTGGGGCAGACTGTCTACATTAAGAAGAGGTACGACTTCGTAGAGGAGGGGCCCAGGGGGCGGGGCAGCACTGCGATCGCACAATCAGCTAGAAGGTCAAGGAGGTGCGCGCCGTGTGCACAGGGCGCTGCTTGCGCATTGCCGCATTGCCTGCAGGAGCTGCGCGCGCTCGCGTCGCGCGCGCGCCCGCCCCTCAGCGGCCCCCCCCCTGGGGTGGCGGGGGGGGGTGGCGGGGGGGCGAGTGGGGGGCGACGACGAGGGGGGGCCGCGATAGGGGGTGGGAGAGGGAGGGGGGGAACGGGGCTGGGCAGAAGGCAGGGGGGGGGCCAGGCAGCGAGGAGGGCGGGGCTCCGAGGAAGGGAGGGGAGTGCGCGCGCGGGCAGGGAAGGCGCAGAAGCCAGGCTGGTGGTCGAGCCCTTTTAGCTACGACTGCACGCAAGTATTCCGGACTTCTGCGGTGCAGATCAAGCTCAATGATGGGCGCACTGTCTTCGAGCACTTAGAGTGCGCTTGCATGGCCGAGGTAGATTTCCCAAAGATGGACGCTAGTACGCACGAGCGCGTGTTCAAGGCAATGGCGAATAAGTTGAAGGCCACTTGCTTTCTCAACCTCTTTCATTGCAGCGCCGTGCATGCTTGTTGCTTCAGTTGTTGGTGCATTCTCTCAGTGCGTGACTCGATGTCGAGGTCTCGGTCACACCATGCGAACTGCCGCAATGGGCGGTGTCGGGCCAACCTGTCCAGCGCGCATCTGTCCTGATTGTTTCGGCGCCGCTGCTCTGACATGTCATGTTTGCGCCGCTGCCCACTGCTGCAGTTGTTGCTGCTCCTGCGCATGCTGCTTGCTTTGGCGCCGCTACTGCTCCCAAATGCGGTTGCTGCTCTGGCATGTGCCGCTGCTGCTCTGGCATGGCTCAGCCATGTCCGCAGATGCTGAAGACGGACTACGCGGAGTACGCGGTGCCCATCATGTTGCTCGCATTCCCGAAGCTGGGGCCCGTTGGCTGGGGGGCGTGTGCTCTATTGCCAGGCGCGCGGTTTTCGCGGGTCACATGCAGTCATGCATGCAGCACATCCTATGTTTGATATAGCCGCGCGGTGTAGCATCGCCCCGACCTCCAGCGCGCGTGGCCCCAGCTCGCCTTGGTTGCGTGTCAGCACTCGCTCGTGGTAGTTGCCTCCTCCGCGGGCCTCGCGGCCCGCCCGCAGGCGGGCTGCCGATCTTGAAGGCGGCGCCCGAGGAGAACTTCAAGAACATGCTCGAACCCTATCAGGAGCGGGCCGAGGCGGCTGCGAAGAGGGCGCTGAAAGAACAGAGAGCCACAACGAGATTGCAAGACAAGTTTGCTGCGCATCTGAGGAAAGTCGTCAGGCAGCGCAAGAAAGCCCAGAAGGACAAACAGGAGTCTGAGCACGCAGGTGGCGTCAAAGCTGCTGCCAAACAGAAGGCGACGAAAGCCCCCGCGCTCAAGGCGCAGCGTCTCCCACTGGCCCTGATCTCCGACGATCACGTGGGGGAGACTGGACATTTTTCCAGCACTTGGAGGCGGCGTGCAGTTATTTGGAGAAGATTGCCAGGGGCCGCCATGCCGATTGCATCCAGTCGTTTCGCCTGATCGCCGAGCACATGGCAGTTTCTGGGTGGGGCGAGGGCTGAGGGGAAGTGAAGGTGGGGAAGGAGGAGTTGATTGTTGTCTCGCAAGGTACTCTCTGCCCCTCCCGCGGGGACAGCCATTCGGCCGCATCCGCGTCTCGTCGCTGCCGCCCGAAATCGTGTCGGCGCTGCACTTCGTAGGCGTGCCTGGCGGCCCCGGAGCAGATGTCGCGGTGGGTGTTGCGTGCTTCTTTGAATGGGGTCCGGGGTTGTCCAGTCAAGCGATGGGGGGCGAGGTAAATGATGATTGGGAGGAGGGGGGGGGGGGGGGCCGAGGGGGCGGGTGGGCGGGGGGGTAGGGGGGAGGGGGGGGGGGCAGGGGTGGGCGGTGGGCTGGGGATGGGGTCGAGTTCGAAGGAGAGGCACGGAGGAGTGACGCAAGGGGGATCATCTCCTTTCCCGCGCCTCTCCACTAAGTGCCCAATCCAATGCTCCTTCTGCTGTCCTGTGCTTGCCTTCTCTAGTCCCTTCCCTTCCCGTCCCTCCTCTTGTTTTTCGATCCTGCTCTCTGTGGCTAGTCGGCCTCGTCCCCCCCCCCCCTGCTCGATCCCCGACCCTCTGCCGCGCAATGGCCCCAACGCATGCGGGCGGAGCAGGTCAAACTCCATCCGCCTGTGCATCAGGGGCAAGGACCGGGACATCAAGGGGTGGACGGGGCTGAAGTGCGCTTTCAAAGAATTCTTGTATGCCGAGACCAAGCTGAAACCGAGGCCATCTCTTGAGCATCCATGTGCTTGGTGAATTTTTCATGTATGTGCCGTGCTTTTCATCATCGACCCAGCGCCTAGACGTGCTCGAGTGGCTTGTCTCAGGCAGGGGTGTGCGCGGTCATCCTCTTGGATAGTAAATTGCGCCGCCGCGTTGAGAGTGGCGGGTCTGGGCACGGTGTGGCTGGGTGCTCGCGGGGGCTCGGGCGGTCTGGACATGCTGCCCGACCGATCGTCGCTGGCCCACTGACCGAAACGCAGATTACGCGCCCATCCGTCGCGCCCCCCCCCCTGGCCCGCCTGCAGGGACAGCGACCCCGACGCCTTCGAAGTCCTCAACCTGGTGAAGGCCCAGGAGGCGGAGCCAGCCACGGATGCGAAGCCCGTCTTGTCCGATGGCTACTGCCAGCAGATCATGGAGGAGTCCGCGCCTGCAGCGCAGTCGCTGCTGTTGACCATCAGCCAGACCGCTGCCTTCACGCGGCCGGTTGCGGAGGGTTGGGGGGGGCGGGTCTCGCGGGCAGCTCGGGGGCGGCCTCGTCCAATCGGCGGCGCGCGAGGACGAGCACGAACACGGGGATGGGGGAGTGGATCGGGGGGGGCTCGGTCGGATGAGCCGGATGAGCAGAGGAGGGCGTTGAGTTCCCGAAAGGGGCCAGTTCCCACTTCCACTTCCGCTTCCCCCCCCGCTCTCCTGAGCTGGCCCCGCCTCGCCGCCCGCCTTGCTCCATGTGCGTCCGCTTCCTCTTCTGCGTTCGCCCATTGCCATTCCCCGCGTAGGCAGGCGCCCCGCCAGTCTACCCTCGCTTGCCCCTTGCAGCCATCATTCCGACAGTATGGCCCCTCTCTCCCCGCCCCCTCCCAATCTCTCTTCCTCGCTCCTGTTTCTTAACTCGAACTTCCAGAGTTTGCCGTGCCCTTTCCGCCCCAGCCTTGCCCCTGCCCCTCCCAGCGTGTCTCCCGCGCTCGCATCTGACCCCGAGCTTTGGATTGGCCCCCGTGCCTGGCCCATGCCTGTCACCGCTGGCGCTCCCGCGCCCTGGCTGCGCCCGATTCGGCCCGCGTTGCGTTGACATGCTCGCTGTTTTGACGGGCCCTCGCGATGGGCCCCTGGAGGGCCGGGGCCCCGCCAAATCCTGTGAGCGAGGGCCCGCGGGGGCCGCCTGAAGGTTCCTCGGAAATGGGCGTGCGGAGATGGCGGGCGGGGAGAGGAGCTGCCCACCACGGCCATGACGCTGGGGAGCATGATGCGGAACCTGATGATGGGACTTGCACAGAAGGGTGGGTTTTACGATACTATTGCAGAGGGCTTGCGTACTTTCGTTGACGCATGCATTGAGGCAGTGGTTGAGGAGTTGCCCGCGTCCTATGACCAAGCATGCACCGTCGTCGAGACGCTCGTTTCAGGCGGCCCCAATGGCGAGTCGGTCACTTCAACTATTGGCACGGCGTTTCAAGGACTGATTGAGAAAAAGGCGTCGCGTGTCATGCTCCAGGCTGCCCGCTTGCGCCTGCTGGCGGAGCTGTGCAGGATGCACGGGCCGTGCTGGTTCTGCGCCCAAGAGGATGGCGTTCCTCGAGCGGCCACGTATCTGTCCAGTACCATGGCCAGCGCTTGGGCTTGAATATCACCGAATCACTCCCACCGCACCCAAGGCGCCCGTTCAACAATGCTTGCATGTGTCGGGGGCATTATGGCGGGGGGATCTCTGGTTGGCCCTCGGGGCCCTCGCCTATAGTGTCGGCGGCGCTCAGTGGCCCGGCCCTCTCGCGCGGCCCGAGCTCGATGAGGCGTTTAAAACGGCGGCGCCCATTATATTTGATCTTGGCGCTGGGGCCCAGTCGCCCCGCGTCTTCGCCCCGCCCCCCCCCCTTCTGTTCCGCGATGTCTTTGATTTGCTGCCCCCGCGCTTCCCCCTCCCGCGCGCCCCCCTCCCCGCCAGTCCAAGTGCATCGAGTCCATGTCCAACTGCGTCAAGGTGGCGCCCGAGGGCGCCGTCGAGCTGCCGCCCGAGATCCTGCGCATGATGGATCGCGAGGGGGGCGAGGGCAGGGGCGAAGCAATGTGGCCGGAGGAGGGCGGAAACACAAGATGATGTCTAGGAAAATCGGGGGGGGCCCAGTTGTGGCTAGAGCGCGCGCCGAAAACCGCAGCGCGCGCCGTTGCTGCAAGGGTGGTGGTGGGGGGGGGGGGGGGGCAGGAACGCCCGCGCTCCATGGACTTCAATGGCGTCGCGCACAAGATATTCGCTGTCTTGGAAGAGTTGGACGGGCAGCGCGCCCATGAGACAGCGGTCCGGTTCAGGGCCGACCTGGCGAAGTTAGAAAAGAAGTTTCGGAATGCTCACGGCGCCGAACAGTTAAACCAGGAGGGCGATCGGGAGCGCTGGGGACAGGGGGGGAGAGGGGCACATCGCATCGTGCCTCGGATCCACCATCCCCCTCCTCCCAGCATTGCTGAAACTCTTGAAGCTGTGGAACCCCTCCCATCCACTCACCCTCCCTCCTCCTCCTCTCCCCCGAGCATCTTGATTTGCTGGCCATGGGGATCCGTGGAACTTTCTCGATGTCAACGCGGATGAGTGCGACCATGGTGTCGTTCCAAGCGCGCCTGGCACCCGGGCGCCCGGCTCACCAGGCGCCACGCGGCCCCTAGGGGCCCAGCGACGAAACGCGGGCTCGAAAGGCAAAAACAAGTCTTTGTTTCCATTCGAGCCCATTTTTGCTGGGGCCCCAGCGGGGTCCGCGATGAACTGGCAGAGGGCCGCCGCCTTGGAGACGCTCCGACGCGGGAACAGACGGCCGCGAGGAGGAGGGGGGGTCAGAGGGGGGAAACGAGGAGGTGCAGCAGGGCATCCCGTGCGAGAGAGAGAGAGAGAGAGAGAGAGAGAAGAAGAAGAAGAAGAAGAAGAAGAAGAAGAAGAAAGAGAGAGAGAGAGAGAGAGAGAGAGAGAGAGAGAGAGGAGCGCGAGAAGACGAGAGAGATGGAGAGAAGACGAGAGAGAGGAGAGACCGAGAGAGATAGAGAGAGAGAGAGAGAGAGGGGAGAGAGAGAGAGAGAGAGAGAGAGAGAAGAAGAAGAAGAAGAAGAAGAAGAAGAAGAAGAAAGAGAGAGAGAGAGAGAGAGAGAGAGAGAGAGAGAGAGTGTGTGAGAGAGAGCGAGGGAGAGAGAGAAAATATGAAGATGAAGAGAGAGCGAGAAAGCGAGAGAGAGAGAGATAGAGAGGGAGAACAAACAAACAAACAAGCAAGTGACCTATATATATATATATACATATATAGACAGAGAGAAAGAGAAATAGAGAGAGAAAGAGAAATAGAGAGAGAGAGAGCAAACAACGGGGCATAACCCAGCAGCAGCAATGACAACGGCGCTGTCATCTCCAGACCGCGGGCAGGGGGCAAACCATTGAAGGGGGCCTAGCGCGCGCTGAGAGAGGGCGAGGTCAGGGGCCATTCTGAAGGCGGGGGGTCAGATCGTCAGCGCCGTGCAGCAGTCGGGCTCAGGATGGAGCATCGGCCCAGCGAGGGGCGGCCCCGCTCCCAACCTCGCATCGCGCCTCGGGATCAACCTCGCGATGCGTCCGCGGAGCTCCCGATTCCCCCGACGCCGTGGCGTTGGAATCTGTCCTGGCCTGACCGCTGGAACTACTATCTGTCGACGAGCCCGCTGTTGCCGCGGCCGGAGCTCGGTCGTCGCCCGGGGGAGCTGTTGGCCATCCTATCGGAGGCGGCGCGTCGCGAGAGCGAGCGCGGGCACCCAGGCGTGATAACCATGTGGACAGGACCCTTTCCCCCGCGGGCGGCCAATGCCGCCGTGGCCTCCTGGGGCCTCTGTTGCGTCAGGGGCCAGTCCACTTCCCAGCCCTGCCCCCCAGGTGCGGCGTGTTCGTTTGGGTTGACACTCTTAACGCTGGCCACCTGCCGCCTGGCCGGGAACGTGCTCCAGCGCCTTGAGGTGGGAAGGGCGGCGGGCATTGGGCAGGAGGGCGGGGCAGGGCAGGGGGCGGGGGTGGGCAGCGGGTCGAGAGGCGCTCCTGCCAGTGGTTTCGCAGATGGGCCGATGGGAGGTGCGCTCGGAGCACGACATCCTCGGCGACGACACCCCTGCCGCGTTCTCCGGATGGGACAGCTTGCACAAGGCCGACTGCTCGAGAAAGATCGCTGTATGCATCGATATTTGGTCCAAGAAGCAGGGCGGCGCGATCGCCGCGGACTTTTACCGCGCCAACCCGTGGGAGGCGGTTCGATCCAAGTTGGCCATCGAGTACCCTCCGCCGCGCCCTATCGCGGATCGGGGGGGGGGGGGGCTGCCGGCCTGCGGGGCGTCTGCGGAAAGCTGGGGTTCGGGGGCAGAGGCGCGTGGCTGAGAATATCGGAAAGGTGGAGAAAATGGCGCGGGCTGGCTGGTAGGTAGGGCGGCGGGGGTGCGTGGCTCGGATCCGAGAGACGTTGCGGCGCCGAAATACTTGGCGCACGGCCAGGGGGCGCGGGGACTGGGGGGGGATTGCGGGCGCGCGCGCAGGCGCCGATGTCCCGTCTCCGCGTGGGGCCAGACTCGACATCGCCGACGGTGGCTTTTTGAGCCATCGGCAGGGTCGAGGGGGGGGGTGGGGTCGGAGGGGGTAGCGGTCAGAGCAGCAGCGCCAGAGCGCGCGGGGGGCGGCGGGAGGACGTCATCGGCGCGCCCGAGCTTCTCAAGGACAAGGAGTCCAGCGCCTTGGGCCCGAGGGCTCCCAAGATCATGACCGTGGGCGAGTGGATGAAAGGCGTCTGCGACGCAGAGGCCGAGGAGACGGGCGAATTTCCCATCATTTACCAGAAGGGGGCAGGTGTGGGCGTCGCAGGCAGAGCCAGGAGACAAGGGGACGAGAGGCGGGCGTGAAGGGGAGGTTCCATTGATGGAGCAGTCGTTAGGGGAAAGGGGCCTGGAAAAAGGGAGCGGCGGGCGGGGGGGCGGCGGGGGGGGGCGGCGCGGCGTGGGCGAGATCAGACAGATGGCTTCGACGGGGCGCGCCAAGGGCACATCGCTTCTCGCCTGCGTGTCGCCCCCTGTTCCCGCGGTAGCCCCATCGGCTCTCGCTGTCCGCGTCGGCCGCGGGTCGACGCCGCTGCCCTGGGTCGGCGGGGGATGCGAGCGGCGTGACTGGCTGGGGGCCGGGCAGATCCTCAACTCGCTCAGCGCTGCCATGCACGGCGGGGCTGGGGAGGGGTGTTTTGCATATTGTTCTGCGTGCTCGTGCGATTAGCTGCTCAATGGGCCTTGCGTGCAGTCGCGCGACAGCGCAATGCAATGGATCAGGGGAATGAGGAATGGGCAAGAGGGCGAGATCATGAGAATATGGGAGAGGAATGCCCCGAGGAATGCGGAACCTGGAAGTAGGCAGGAGCGACAGGCAGGCGGCGGGCAGCGAGGCGGGGGGAGGCGCCTTCGTCAACAACCTGGTGAATATTGCCTATTCGAAGACGTGCTCGATCATGGTGAAGTCCACGCCCTCCCCAGACCTGAAAAGTGCGGCCCATTCGCTGATCAGGACACGTTGCTGGCTATCGCCTCTCCTTCGCCGCTCAGCCCCTCAATAGCCACTTTCTCCTTCCTGTTCCCGCAGGGTCGTCGTGGGTCACCTCCCTGGCCCGCCATCTGCCGCGCCCCTGCCATGATGCCGCTCATCCCTTCATCCCCCTCACCTTCCCTGCCCAATCCTGAATCGCCCCGCGTGCTTTCCTCCTTCGTTGCATGGCCGCCCCCTCTTCTCTTGATTTGACCTGCCCATCCTCTCCCCTGATCGCCCCTCCCTTGCGCGCCCGCTCCGGGTCGCCACGTCGCCGTCGCGTCGCCGCCCTCCCAATGCGCGTTGGTTGCTTGCGCCGCGGCCATGGCGCCGCCTCTGCCCGGGCCATTCCCGCCCGTCGTTCGCGGGTTCTCGAGGGCCTGGGCCGCCCTTGGCCAGTCGCGCCTTCGCATGTATACATAAGCAATAAGGGCAATCGGGAAGGAAGTTCGCGGAGGGGTATGAGCCCACGATCATGGCGTATTCTGGCAGGGTGGTGGACTACAACGCGGCGCGCGGCATCAACAAAAGCTTCATTCTCCCGTTGCGCCCGCTCGCGGCCTCTGACGTGATGAAACGCAAAGACTGGCCGAGTTACCGCGTCTCGGGCGAGTTCCAGGCTGCGAAGTTCGCGCTGCTCGGCCGCGGAACCATCGTTGAGAGCACCACCGACGACATCGACATCGCCGACCCCAATGATCCCGACACGGCGTTGCTCTCGGACTAGGGGGCGGACCCGGGCCCTGATGGGGCCCGATGGGGGGGGAGGGGGCGGGGCGCAAGCACAGGCTGGTGAGGCGAGCGAGGGGCGACGAGGGAGGCGCGGGAACAGGCGGGGGTCGAAGAGGAGGCCCGAGGAGAAGCGGAGGACAAGTCGGCCAGAACGGATAGGACGATGTGGTGATATGTTATATGAGTGAAATGATGTTCGCCTGTGTTCAAGAATTATCATTATCGTCGTTGATTTCGGGCTGCGCCTTCTCCGCTTTCTCGACCTCGGAAACCGGAGGTCG